TCTCTCTCTCTCTCTCTCTCTCTCTCTCTCTCTCTCTCTCTCTCTCTTTCTCATAACAATTCAATTCGAAATTCGTAATTTAATAAGAGGTATATAAATTATAAGAAATTTTTTCTTGGCCCACTATTTATGTGGAAGTAAAATAAAAAGAATTTATGATGGCAATTGGCTTTAGATTATCTTGATTATCTTATTATCTATCGAACATATGTTCGGATATAATGGAATGTATATATTTTTAATTTAAATTATTTATTCGCCCGCTTATTATTACAAATCTTAACCGTTTTGAGGAGATAAAGTATAAAAAAAATGCCATAAAAATTTTACATACTCTTTCATAATAGGTTAAGAACTGAAAGAGAAAAGAAAAACAAAACTAATAATTAAAATAAATGCGTGTTAAGACGAATCCGTTAATACTCATCACTGCAAAGTAATTTGTAGATATTTTGATGGTTTTTAGTAATAGCGGATCTTTCGGCCATTTCCACACTTATTTAGATCAATATTACCAATTTAAGTGAATATCTTGAAATGTGCATGATTGCACAAAAAAAAATCTGCATATTTAGCATACATAATACATTATTAAATCGGTTGATCTTTGTAATGTATGACACACACAACACACAACATTCAATAAACAGGGCTACGATCAATAAAGAAGCTTCAGTTTGCTGTCATCTTGTATGTATCAGCTGTTAAATTGATATTCCTTTCGATGCTCGTAATATTTTATATCAAAAAACACGTAAGGTGAATGCGAATACTCTTTTAGATTAGATTGCTTACAAAATTTAACAGAAATTATCAGCTTCCCTAAAAGACGTCGTTAACTGATGAATTGAAATCTTCGAAAGATGGAAAGACAAGTTTGTCCTAACTGCATTGAAAATTCGTTTTTAATGGGAAATGAAATGAAAAGATACGACAAAGGGACAATGAATACACATTTGGTCGAACCCACTTATATGGAACATTTTATTTGTACTTTGTACGCAACACCAAAAACTATCGTCAATACTTTTGCAACGCCCACAAGCAGCTTTCAAAGATCCTGTAAAGTATATAAAAGTATATGTTCTTGATTAGTATCAAATTAGAAATCGATGTAAGCAAGTTTGTCCGTTTGTCCGTGTAATATCTGTGATAAACATTTTCCTTAATGCCTTCAAATTTCAAGCAAATCCATCGAAAGTTCTTAGTGCAGGAAAGCGCAGGTTGATATTGAAAATAAGTCAAACTGATCAAGGGACACAAGGACTCACAATGCACTATAAATTGAGAACACCTTTGTTTACAAATGCAAAAAAAAAAAAAAATTGACTTTACTCATCAATAATTAATTAGGTCAGATGCAATAATAAAAATTTGCATGTATGTCCTATGGATATTCGTAGATAACCTATACAAAAATGCAAAATATCAGTCACGTCCACTTACTCTTACAGAATGTCGAACATTCAGTCCTACCTTTTCTTCCTATCAATATTCTTCGATATCTTTTTTTTTTTTTCAAAACATGCTTGATGGTTATAGAAGATTCGGCAGCAGCCGAATATAATTTCTTTACTTGTTGCAAACTGAGTAATAAATTGAATAACTTGCGTAAAATTACATCAAAATAGCGCAATTCAATAGACGGTCAATGTTTCTTTATGGCTTCTATAAGGAAGAAAATTTAAAAAAAAAAAAAAAATCAACGCTAGATTTACATACCGTTTAACCCCAAATAAAGACGAAAAGCAACTAACTGCATTTGCTATGCGCTTTACCGAACGTAATGTGGCGAGGAATAAAATGAAATCGGTTGAAAAATTTTTAAATGCAAATCTTTTCAATTCACACACGTAATGAATGCTGACGTTTGACATTTTGTGCTAATCACTTTATTGAACTTAAAATCAGTTTATTCTAAATATTTTATAATCTTCTACGAGCGATCTTTCGGGCTAGTTAGTTATACCGTGCACTTTTTTTCCGCTACAGAACAGAAGGACATAAGATAGTCGGATCTATCTGGCTGATGGTTGATTTTCCATGTACTTTTGCGTTCAACAGACGATAGTTTATAAATTTTTGAAATATTTTTGATGATATTGGGGTATACTGATGTATTTTGGTTCAAGGGCTCAAGGATCCTCTTGAAAAGGCATTGAATTGGATGACTTTCGCAATTACTTCCTCTTGAACGTCGCTATATGCAAAAAAAATATTGCAAATTTTCAAAATTTCTCGACAAAAAGAGCAAACTGATGATACTTCGATGCGGCAAATTAAGCTGAAAAACTTGAATTGGATGGAGTAAATTTTTGAACTCTTCCCCCATATATCCATTCTTACAAGAAGTACGCTTTCATATGGGAAAAAAGATTCAATTTTTAATGGTTTCATTAGCCTGTAATTCTAATTTCACATAGAAATTAATCGTACAAAATTTGGACTATATAGATTTATTCTTTGGACTCGATTCCATATAAGGACACTCGTAAAAAGTATGTTTTTATATGGAGACAAAGCATAATTTATTATATTTATTACGGCAATAAATGAATTGTATTAGGCGAAGGGATGGAGTAGGCTGCTGAAGGATCAGTCTTATATATAACATTTTTATTTATGTTCTAATACGTTTACAAGTCTACTATTCTTCTATGTATAGTGTTTTATTAAGAAAGATAATAAAATGATTGAGGAGCCTTTGTAAAGGAAAAGATTATGGCTTATTAATGGCTTCGAGATTTTTCGGTTTAAACAAGTGGCGGTTTTTTTCGTAATATTTAAAAATAGTTTTATGTAGCCAATCAAGTAACTGATACTACTTACGAGATTCCAAAACGCATATATATCCATAAGTAGATTAAAGCTGACTTAAGAACATTGTAATTAATTCTTACCAAATTGAGTAAGTCAGACAATATGTCTAACTATATTTTCTATTCTTATTATTTTAATAAAAAAGAGGTTCCGTTCATGTGCATTAAGAGTCCACTTATCTGCACTCGTAGTTTTTCTAAACGGCATTCTCGCCGCTTTTTTGTTCTTGTTGATAAAATACAATCTAAATTTTTTTTTTTTTTTTTTTTGTACTCTTCCTTACATACTTTTCTTTTGTTTTTCAAAATACTTTCATTTATAGACGGATTAGAGAGATTCCTTCTTTCGTTGAGTTCTTTAAATGATGCCGACGAACATTTTCCCCCATATTAAGTTTGTATCTGCAGTGAATTATCTGCACTGCAATTTCTTATCTATTATGGGCGAGCATGTTCACCTCCATTGTCAAATATTGATCTTGATTTGCCATTAATTCAGGACATATTTAGCGACTTTAAACTTCCTGTTTCAGTTTCTGTGACTGTTTCGACTACAAAGAAAAAAGAAAAAAAAAAGAAAAAAAGCTGAGCGACAGACGAATAAATTCGGAATGTCACGTTGATCAGAAATATGTAGATACTTAAAGGGGTTTCTGGTGTGTATTCCTGGCTGATGCGTACAGAAGAGAAGAGAGAGGAATCTATTGAATCCCCGTCTCTCAGTGATGGTAATAATTTGATATACAATTTTTGCAAATAATGCGAATGCATTCTCTTTCCATTAAGAAGTTATATAGTGTTTAATAGCAGCCTATCAGCGTGTTTAAGTCAATGAAGTAATTGCCTGTACACATTTCTCTGAAAATTTACCTTTAGATTTTGAGAAATGCTTATTCAAAAATTTAGTTCGTTTTTATATGTATATATATATATATATATATATTTAATTTTCAATGTCATTTTGCAGCCATCTAAACTGAAAAATGCCGAAAGCGTTTTTAATTAATATAGTAGTGCCATCATGTTTCTATTATGGATCTTTCGTCATTTTAAACCAATAGTCGATAATTTTTGAATTTAACATATTTTCAATTTATAGAATTTATCTTATATTTATTTATTATTGCCTTTGTGTTTTGCGATCGCGCACCCGTTTAAAGTGACTTTTTTTCATTTTTAATGCACAATCACTGCCAAAGTATATTTACTTTGTAATTCCACTTCGTAACGTTCGAAAATTGTGAGGACAATGATTTTTTAAAAGTTTGAAATTTTTCGTCTGTCGACGTCCAGTCATCGATATTATAATGGAGTTTTTCATTAAAAGTCTCATTCAACTTTCTTTTCAATCAATTGGTCAATTGCGTGCTATGTCACGATATCTTAATCAAATCGCACATATATCGCAGATTGTTAGATCGCC